AGGATATTTATGGCATGGGCTTTTGGGGGAAGTGTTTGTAAAGTACTATTCATGCTTACAACACAACAGTAATGAATACATGAATATACATTTCAGAAAGTAGCATCAGCTGGCTGAGAACATACAGGACTGAAAGGAATCAGCTTCACCATCTGAAAGCACTAAGAGAACACCAACTTTGTCAGGTTAATGGTATGGGTTTTTTAGTTAAGATGACTACATTATACAAATAATGTCAATTTCTTTAATAAATAGAATTTATAATTTTGAAACTGAAATTCTAATGGCTTCAAGTGACAAACCCAATTCCTTCAGCCGTATTCGGCAATCTGTCTAGAGGGCAGTTCTCCACTTGATTTGTTAAAATTATATTTTAAAAAAAAATTAAATTTTTAATGATTTATTCTTTGAAAGTGGCTTTATTTTTTCCAATAACTTTTAGATTACACTCGTCTTTTCCTTTAGGTAATCCCAAAGGAATCTACAGTCCCAACTTGTTAAAACAAAATACAGATTAAACCACATAAAAACGGTGATTACAATTTAGTGTACATTCACCACACCTGTCTACATATTCTTAGATAACAGGTGGTTTAGAATGAAATATGTTCAACAACCAAGTCACAGTTAAATTTAACAAATTAGCAACATGCTTAAAAGCACCAAAATGATTTTTTTTTTTGGTAAATATACTTACGGTTCCCACCCTGGCCTGTTGCCTGCAGAACGGACTGTATTGGTTCTTATTGGCTGACCTATTTGGGGAAAAACATTTTTTCTGTTCAATTTATCTGAAGAGCTATTTCTATAAGAACAGAGCTGAAGTTGCAGTTACTCACCAGTAGTGGGTATTGAGTGTCCTTGTGAAGTTAACTGGCCTTGTAACGCTGTCTGTCTTAGTACAGGAACCTGGTAGCCCTTAGGGATTAATAGTGAAAAATCAGAAGAGAAGCCTTCTCAAATCACGAAAGTTATCATATATCCTCAAGTAAAATTTACCTTCTCTTCCATCACAGTGCTAATCGACAGAGAGGAAGATGTTTTAGAATGTTCGGAGGCAGTCCCAATAGCAGCAGGAGGCATCATGCTATCAGGATCACTGGTAAAAACAAAGAACACAAGGTTTGAGACATATTTTGATAGGGTATTTTAAGTTATTGAAAGAAAAAGGACAGAGGTATATACAAAAAGGCTACACACATTTTAATTATCAAAACTAAGAAAACGTGGCATAAAAGCAGAATTAGGACTGTAAAAAAGATAAAATACATGTTTACTGAGGGAGAGGGTCAGAATGGGTGTACATTTTCCAGAATGTATACATTTAGACTAAAACATACAAATCTCAATTCCAAGGTGTGTAAAATTTAATATATATGTACTTCCAAATACAAGTTTAGTGACCAGGATGAGATCATTTTGAAATATGGCCCCCAGGCTAAAATGATATGATACTCTGACATTGAATACTTTATCACTGGATTTTGCTGTGATACTGCTAGTACTTTCCCAGAACTGAAGAGCAGATGTGTGTAAGTTCAAAAGCTCGTCTATTTTACCAACAGAAGACAGCCCAGTAAAAGATATTATGTCATTCAGCCTGCCTCTGTAGTCAGTAGGCTGACACTTTCTTGGACAGAGGAATTGTCTGCTAGGTTCAAATCAGAGAGCAATGCAAGCCTTTAACTACAGTTTAGTTTCTTAAGTTTATTTTAATGCAATTTCATGGAAAGTAGTTTTGAATCTTATATGTACAGAGGGAATTTACATAGCTTCCAAGTAATGCTCTGACCCTCTATGCCTCAAACATACATATGTCACTGTTACTTTGAATTATATATTTTATTGCTGTTAGGTCAGAACCTGTATACAGAATAGATGACAAATTTAGAAGGGGTGATATGAAAGTAAACATTAAGTTTTAACCTCAATGTGCATTTTTGTAGTTTAAGAAAATGCATTGTCTCTCTTCAGCAGTAAGAAAACCAAATCTAACAGCAACCAAGAATCCTTTCCAACTGGAAGAGACTGACATACCAAGTACAGGTAAAACCTCTCTAATCCAGCATACTCTGGTCCAGCAACATCCGCGGCCCGGCATGATTTTAGTTAGCTGAATGTCTACTTATGAGTGTGGCCAAGTTTCTCACAGTCCTATAAAATTTGTTTACAGTCACCAGTCCTGGCTCTCAGTCTTCTGTGTTGCTATTTAGCTCTACTTTATCCCTAAATGCTTCTAAGAGCCCAGGAAGCAGTGTAAGGGGTTGGTAATGCTGCTAGACAATATTGACCTCTTGTGGTTCAGCAAATTCTCTGGTTAGGCACCGGTCAGGTCTCCAGGATGCCAGACTAGAGAGGTTCAACCTGTAGTAAAATAGTAACTTTAGCAGCTGCTGTTCTCTGCTAAATGTAAGGAGTATTCCCCAAGAAAAGTCACTGGGAGAAGAGTTCCCATAAGAAGGTAATCCTGCACTGGGAGAGATTTAACAGTGACCAAATAGTCACCAAGACAGGTGCTTCTGATGAACTGGTTACTCTTGAGTGATGCATGTCACCAACATATCACAAACTGAGTTTTTTATTTAAAAAGAATAGCGAGCATCTTCAGAGGAACAAACCAACTAGCTAATTCTTCTACAAAGAAGCAGATATAAATGAATGAAATAAGAACTTGGTGTGCCCTACCTCAAATAGATAAGAAAAGTATACAGAAACAAATGCTTAAACACCATTCTCCCAATACTTTGTGGAGACACTGATAAAGGCACACAAGGCTATGAAGTGTTGATATGTTGGATATACATAGTGTGTCAAAGTCCACATTATTGATTTCAAGGAGCAGATGGGAAAAATAAAATGCATCAATTCCACTATCAGAATAGAAGGTAAATGAAACAAAAGTTCTAATGGACATCTGGATGACTCTTAAGATCTGTTACTGCAGAGAAAGTGAAATACAATATATAAACAAGAACCCCCAAGGCTGCTCTTCGAGCTGGAAAGGAGAAGTTGGTCAGTCAACCAGCATTTATCAACAGCTACCAGACAAGATAAAATATTAGAAGTAAATGGAAGTGGAAAGCCAGCATTAGCATGTTTGTTTATTTTCTAATTGTGTTAAATGACAAGTTTACTTACTGAAAGTGTCCTTCTGGTTTTTCAGAGTGAAGAGATATGGACATTTTTGCAGCGATATCAGCAGCAGGTGCAGTGGCAGAGGACTGATTTACTGGCAAAGTAGTTGTCACAGATGATTGACCAGGAGTCAATGATGATGTTAGGGAAGGTGTAGAAGTGATTGGAATCATTAAAGGATCCTGTTGTCTGGAAACTGGAGGCCTTACTGCAGGTTGCAGGTTCCGCTGAACTGGCTGTCTTGGGGGTGGTATCGGCTTACGGAGCCTTTTTGTGTAGCCAGTTTCATTTTTGAAGTTGTTTACAGCCTAGAGGTAGAAAAATCATTGTTAAATGTACATCATAATTTTTATGTATGTTCTCTATAAAAAACTTCCACCACTAAGCGTGAAGGTTGTTCAGATGTATTTTCTTCTACTACAACATTCAAGTACACGCAGACTTTTAGATACACTTCATTGACTACATTATCCTGTGTTTCTGATAAAACAAATAAGCAGGAAATGGTCAGGGCTGCTGTTTGAATATTATCTCTAGTTTTCAAAGCCAACAACTATATTGAGATAAACAAGGAAGTTCACTCCCTACACAACTATTGTCTGATGCACTCGCTTCATATTTTCAAGCTTCTCTTCACAACGAAAACTGGAGAACATCTTCAACAATGAAAATATTTGTCAATTTTTGGTAAAATCTGCAAGTGATCTAATTTTCTAATCTCAAATCAGGAATTTGCTATCTGTATTTTTAAGTGATCATTTCATAATAAGCAATTAATAGATTTTAAAAATGCAAATCCCATCCAGCTGTAATTATTGTAATGGCTCCATGATGCAGAACTTTTTTCCCCCCTCTTAGCTACTTACAAAGAAGATGAGATTTTTTTACATGCATTAAACGAAAAGTGAAGTTACCTGGCGTAAGAATTTGTTGGCAATCAAAGCATCAGGGGAAACATCTGTCTGATGACAAGTTGGGCAGGTATGTTCCTCTGATTCCAGTAGTGATGTTCGGATACCTGTGAAAAAACAGAAGTATCTGAGCTAAAAATATTTGGATCTTACTTTACACATATTCCTGTACACAACTAACACTGGGGTCCATGGGAAACATGGACTGGGGGGAAAACATTTGAAGATGTACCAATTGAGAAGGTCTAATATGTGGTATAGATATTAGACATTAAAACAAATTTGGTGACCACACTCACAATTAACAGTTACTTTTACTAACAGATGAACAATGATGGGCTGATTACACAAAGCATTTTTTTTGTTAAAAAAAGCATTTACAGATCGTAAAGGAAGAGAACTATTTTCATGGATTTTTGAAAATTTCAGTTTAAAAAAAAACCAACAACCTTGTTTGGGTTTAAACATTATTTAGTGTTTGCAAATCACAAACTACAAGATAAAGTTAGTACATGACAACCAGTCAATGAAACTATTTTATTTTTATTGTCTAGTGGAGTGGGATATAAGAGGTAATCAACTTCTAGATTAATAGGTACATTTTATTTCTAAGAAAGCATTCGTAAATTAGGTTAAGACTATATTTTTAACCAACTGTCTCTTTAGAAGAGGAGCTTGAACAACAGCTTATCTTTCCTCTTGTTTGAGCCTCCAGTAAATTGCCAATGTTGAATTTGGGATACCAACAGTTTATAAGACAAAGTGACGATGACTACTGCCAAATCAAATAGGAACAAAGGAGGAGGAGAGCTTGAGAAAGCATTTAATCAATCTAGATGTATTTTTTTTTTAATTACTGACGTTGAACACAAACATTCACTTATGTTTCTCCATCCTTATATAAAAATTCCTCTAAGTTCCAGTTAAAAATCAGCCCCAGTATTCTTCCTTTACCCAAAGACAAAATGCAAGGATTTTCTGGTTAACAGATATCCATGTTTCAGACTGAAGAGTAGGATAGCAAATTCTGTGAATTCAGATTCCTGTTAATCTTACAAGATCATTTGTATTATGAATTAACTAATGTCAGACTATGGCACTTACATTCATCACAATAACTGTTTCCACAGCAGGGAATGACAACTGCATCATTCATTATATCTTTGCAGATTAGACATAACAATTCATCTGGAATAGGATCATCCTCTTCTGAGGAGGAGGATGGTTCCTCTGGCAGGAAAGGGGGCTTTTCCTTCTTCCCTATAGCATAAGCCTCCCTGAAAGAAATAATTTAAGACTATCTGTTTAAAGAAGTGGCATTACATTTTCAGATTTTATTATAGAAATAATACATCCAGAAAACACTTCCAGAATATAATTCAATTATATAAATATTGCACACAGCAGAGATTTAGTCTCTCAACAGGTAAGTGATTATTTATTGTGCAATTAGCACAAAGCAAACATGATACTGTTTCTACAGGAGGAGGTACATAAGGAAAAATGAACGGAAGTTAAGAAAACGGACATTTAGCTGTATAATACGTACCTTTTTAAAATTACAGCATTATCTAAATATAAGGGTTATGTAGATCCCCCCCCCCAACCCACACCACTAGTATTTTCTTGGTTTCTAACACCCATAAAATATGATATCAAAACGTTTCTCTCACACACACACACACACACACACACACACACACACACACACACACACACACACACAAAATAAGGATTTAATAGATATTTTTATCAGGTTAAGTACTTCTGTTTTTGGACAAATGTTGATGCAAAATACAGCCAGTACAATCACATTCATAACATCTGCTATTACCATCAAAATGTCTATATAAACTCAAGTATTTGCACTGATGCACTCTCTCAATGACTTAACCACCTGCATTCTGCTACAAAGACCTTTTACATCTGCACTTGAAAGGGAATCCTCTGAACTGTCATTCATGTTAAAATTCGACACTTGCCAACAAGGACTTAAACATTTGAACTCTCTCACCCATTACCAAGACAGTTTCCCCAATTATCACCTCTAATACCATTAACTCACAAACATCCCACTCTCCCTACCTCTAATATCATCAATTCACAGACACTTACCTTCCTTCCTCCCCCCCCCCCGCATCCCCCTCCTGTTCTGCAATGTGATTTGTCCTTTTCATATTTGTTCATTTTTTTAATTGTATCCTTTGGTATATATGGTTGTGACTACTTTCTTCCACTATTTGATCTGAGGAAGTAGGTCTGGCCCACGAAAGCTCATCATCTAATAAACCATCTTGTTAGTCTTTAAAGTGCTCCATTGTCCTGCATTTTGATGCACTTTTGTAATCCTTATCTATACCATCACCATCTTCAATGAGGAGGAGGAATCTTTTGGATCTAAAGTGCCTGTATATTTCAATAACATATTACTTATCTGCCCAAGTGTTTGCTGGATTAGGTAGGACCTTACACAAGGTAACTATTTTCATCTGTGTTTTATGGGCACTAAAATAAATAGGATGAACTCAGATTTCCTAAACTCCCAGTGCCTTTACTGCAAGGCCAATCATTTCCCTGTCTTGAAAACTATGATTTTGGAAAGAAATTAATTCTTGCTATTACTATTTTTGGTACATCTTAACCAGGTTACCTAAAAACACTAAAGGCCTTCTGATATTAAGACTCTGATGTCTCGGCTAAAACTGGAAATTTCATCTAAAGAAGCTATACCTATGGAATAGATGTAACAAGCTAAAAATATCTTTTCAAAAAAGTGCTTTAATTATTGCTTCAAATATTTAAAACTACAACAGCACTCCTATAACAGAGATACTGACTCATAGCATTTTGAACAATTTATTTGTGTTTGTTTTAAAATGAAATGAGTGTAAACAATTATTGAAAAAGCATTTTTTAGTCTGTTTATACTTTGGCCACCTCTGAAGTACTAAATACTTACGCATCAATAGTTGGTACTGCATATTTTCCTGTGTTTGTAAGCATAGCACCCTTTGTATTGGGATCTTTCACTTCCATCATGAAACTCCTGGGAATTCCTGTGCTCTTTTTAATCCTGGGAACAGACTCAAAATTTTTGTCCTGTTAAGAAAGAATCCAGATATATTTCGGCTTTAAATGAATCCATTTAAAATGATATGCGACTGCTTAGTGAGATAAAAAAACTATTTAAATTATTTTTCTTTGCAAATATGATAACTGCATGATTAATGCATATAATTCCTTAACTGTCTAAGACACTACAAAGTATGAGGCAGGTTTTTTAAACTCAATGGGACAACATCTGTGCTTGAAGTCAAATACAAATGCAGATCTTTGCATTACTAGAGCCTAAAGTTATAATCTCTCCATTCACGTAATAGCAGCTGTAAAATATTTATGCTATAATAAAGTGTGTGTCACACATATTTGAATCTATGAAAGAATGGCTAAAAGATGTATCCTTTTACACTCATGTACATAATTAAAATAATAAAGCATTCAAATGTGAACTGGTTTATTTATATAAAATCTATGCTGAAAAGGAAGGATGTGTCAAAAGTCTCAGGTAAGCATGAAACATGCCACAATTTGCAATATGAAAGTACAGGGTGCACTGGGATGAGCTAAGGAAATCTGCAATGCCAATATACAGGTAGTCCCCGGGTTACGTACAAGATAGGGACTGTAGGTTTGTTCTTAAGTTGGATTTGTATGTAAGTCGGAACTGGTACATATTGTAGGGGAAACTCTAGCCAAACATTTCTCCAGAGCTCAGTTTTATTCTCCCACATGTCACTTCCCTCAGTCCTTTATTCTCAAGCTGAGGTGTCTGCTGAGAAAAGCCGCTCCGCGTCTCCCTGGTCTGCTGGGGGGGATGGGGGGGGGCGCTAGCTTCACGTCTCTCTGGTCTTCTGGGGGGAAGCAGCTAGTGCGGGGTTGCCTCACCCCGTTTGTAAGTAGGGATCCAATGTAAGTCGGATCCATGTAACCCGGGGACTGCCTGTACTGCAAAGGACAGGACATACCCCCCTCCCCAAAATGTGTCTCCTATTCTTTCGTGATAATCTTTCTTCTAAATTTTCCTTAATTTTTGACACCTCACTACAGTTTGTAGAATCCGTTCATATACTCCCCCCCCCACTCTGAAATGAGGCTATCATGAACATAACTAAACCTCTGTTCCTTACTTCAAACGTCCAAACTGCGATGTTTAAAAATAGATCACAAAGATAAATCATTGCAAACATTGAACACAAGGCATAAACATTCAATTCTGAGAGATTTTATCTTTACAGTGCATTCCTACTATGGGAAAAGATACTAGCTCTGAAAATTAGAATTAAAAATTAATTTAATTTTTTAAAATTCAAACTAAATCCATACAAAAAACGGAATCATTAACACTCCAACCCACTCTACCAGGATGGACATCTTGTCAACAAATTGTACAGTTAAACATAATCAGCTGCAACGCATAGGCACAAAAGAAGAAATTCTGGGCAGAATTATCTTGCCTATGTATTTAAGTTTATTCAGTTTTATGATCTAACTCATGCTACTAAAAATATAGTAGTGAAAATCCCTCCCGAGTCTCTTACCCCATTTGTTGGACAATTCTTTATGTAATGACCAGGTTTTCCACAACGAAAGCATGTATAGGATGGTGGAGGTGGACCCAAAGGTTTCTTCATGTAACTAAAAAAAGTTTAAAAAAAGGTCTGACTACAGTTTTTAAAAAGAACATAAGCATCTCTCTAATTTTTCCATAATCTTCAAGGAATAGATTTTACATTAATACTTACTTGCTTGGATCATATTCATGGCCAGACTGTGACATCATAGCTTTTATTTTATCTTCTTCAGAAGCATTGGCTTCAGCCAGATTGGCAGTCTGTTTAATAGGTAATTATTTGACACACACATTAGAAACACATTGAAGTCCACACAGCCAAAGACAACACCACTCATCCAATCCTGTAAAGAGCAGCACAAATCTAACTAAAGTTGCCTCAAAATAGCTACTTATATTATATAATATGGTTATGAAGATGTTCTGGGGAGTCCTTAAGCCATTACATGATGTTTGTGTGCCTGTTAACCTACTTGAGAAAAGCGTTCTTGGACACTCAAAACCTTAGGCTCTGTTTGTACCTTACATAAAGACTTGTGTAAGTGCTCCAATTTTCTTTAAAACGAAAGAGGACTTGGACTTAAGCTAAGTGTAAAAAAAAAAATTTTTTTTTTCGGTACTTTTAAGTTAAAGAAACTGAATGTTAAGCTCCAGAGTACATGAAAAATACATTCACTGTATTTGTGTTTATTCAGAAATCTGAACACAAAATAAACAGCAGTATTCACATTTCACAGTGTTAAAAGGACACTCAACTTGAATTATTTGAAACTGATTAAAAAAAGTCCAGGTGTCTAACAGCACCCTGGAAGAGAATATGTTTTTAAAAATTCCTTTAGTTTTTAAAATAAGGACGTGTGTTCCCTTCCTAAGGTTTTTAGAAGGATCTTTTTAGTGAAGGAGAAGCTAACTACAGAGGGCTGTCATGTGTGAGGTTAAAAAATGAATTTGTTAACTTTATACTATGAAGTGTTTAACTATAGCTGGTACAAAATTTGTAGATAAACAATTTTCAAGTTGACTGTCTCTTTAATATGGAAACTTAAACGTAATCCTCATATATGTGGAGCTAACCTTTCAAAAATACTGAAGCCAACTGGGAAAAAAAAATCAAAATGTATCAGTACTTGTTTAAAATATTTCATTACACACTAGTCCAGATACAAGCAGGGTCTAAGGGAGTGACTGCTAATTACTTGGATCTTCAAGCACCTAACATTCAGATCAACCACTCAAAGTATTTTATCTTTTTATACATTCATTCACAAAAGCAACCAACTAGTTTCAACATTTTATTAAATGGTTGTTTCATATACATAGCTTTTCTTAACAACATAATCCAGATTGACAGCTATGAAACCATTTCCATTAACATTTACAGAAAATGTGATATACAGATAGTTAACTAATTTGTTTGAACCCAAACAGTTTACAAACACATCCAAAAGCACAAAACATTAGTAGGAATAGACCAAAATTCCAATATGGCATTTAATACATAATAGGAATAAAACAGAAAACTGTTAAACACATTGCCTCCATGCTTAGCTAGTCTGTGCTGAAGAGGTTAAAGTAAGTAACAGTTTTGAGCTGCTTTATGTTATGTTTCTGCATTTTTCAGAAATACTTCAAATTCTCTCAAAAACTTTAAAAGGAATACACCACGTGGACAGTTTTTCACATCTTAGAATAAGAAAGTTGACATGAGCTTACAAAACCGAGGACAGATTTAGGGACAGCACTAATGGAAGCCAATCTTTTTAGATGGCTATTTTTCAAGATAAATTTCTTAGCTGCCAAATGCATGAGAGATTGTCATGTTTATAGTGGAGGGGAAGTTATAGATGGAAATACTTATATTTTCCCTGGAAGTCAAACTCCAGTTTTTACCCTCAAAAGAAAAGTTAACTACTCTATATTATGTCCTAGCCTTTCTAATATTTTACATTTTATAACAATAATAATTTACTTGGCTGATACTGTAATATCTTTTTAGTAAGTGTAGTCACTAGTGCTTTCCCAAACAAAGTCACACATTATTGAGCAGAAAATGCAAGCAATTTCATAGCAAAACATGGCATATACAACAGTTTCAGGTCACATTTGCCAATATGCCACAAATGCACATTGGTATATTCCTATAAACAATTGATACATTTACACAATTTACAAGTCTGTGTTCAAACAAATTAGATTTATAATTGTTGTCCACTGTATATATACTACAAGTCTACAACTTATGAAATTATGTGCAACACTCAAAGAATTGGTCTACCACTGTAAAGTCTAGAAATCCAAAAATAATTGTTCAATTGTCCATGTTAACAAAAAGCTTCTATTTTGGCTGTTGCAAAAAACCAAAAATCTGGAAAGTCCATAACTTACAGCCAAAATATATTAAATTCTTCTTTAAAAATTGTGCTAGTTTCCAATGCAAAATTAACGAAACGTTTGAAAGTAACGGTAAACAGCTTCTGAAGTGCTTCTTCCTTGTGTCTTGAAGATGAGTAATACTGCAACATTATGCTGAGGCTGATAAGGTACTCCCCTTCTATCTTCCCAAACTGGGAACTACTCTTTACAGGATAGCATTAATCAATTTATACACAAATATTCAAATTTGAGTCAGCACTTTACTAAAATTTTTTTTGCTCATATTACAAAAATTAGTCAGAGATCGATCACAATGTAAGATATTTAAATATTAAGCAAACAACAATTCAGTTATAATTTGACAAGAATATATATGTATATATACCTTTGCAAGCTGGGCCAGAGAAATAGATGCAGAAGAGTCATCAATCTGTTCACAAAAAATTAAACACACATTCAAGTTCCACAATCAAAACATAGCCATATTTAGCCTCTCGAAGTTTGAACATCTACACTGGGTATTTTGTGTGTACCACTGACAGAGGCATTTTCCAAAGCAGTGCAATTTTACTTGCACAAGAAGAAATGGAGCCCAAATCCATGGCAGCTTTAAAAATGGGTTGAGATCAAGAAAGGCCAGTTTGAGGGGAAGATGGTAAAATAGCGAAGTAATTTGCTTAAGTCAATTTATTGACTCAAAGCTTCTTCTCCCCTTGATGAGACCCCATAACTCTCTAAATCTATATGATTTAATATATTACAGAGAGAACAAATAATTCTCACATTGTAGCTAACTGGGTTACATTTTTAAAGTATTTTTTAAAAGTCAATTTGAGAAAGTGTGTGTTAATATATAAATGTACATTTAATATATTTTGTAATTTAACACTTAATCATGAAAGGGTGTAATTATGCTTTTGTGAAGTAGGCTGTTGCCAAAAGAAAGAACAAGCATAGCAGTCTAGAGAGATAGAAACATGTCAAAAATCCATTTAATAAAAGTAATCCTTCCACTGACATACAAATTGTAAAATAAACTGTCTGGATCAAATTAGGACTAGTAAAAAAACTGTATAATTCTATGCATCACAGGAGTTTACTAGAACAGGGAAGAAATGAAACAAGTCCATTTTATTAAAACAAAAGGGCATATTATAAAATTGAACTGAATACATGCAACTGACTTTAGAGATTTTCCCCTACCTATTAAAAACGATCCTTTTTGAGAACAATCATGAGAAGAGGTTATGGACTCCATTATGAACAAAACCAAGAAAGCAAACTCTCCCTGTTGAAGGTAAGAACTTGTGTCTCAGCCCTGCAAGCTGCTCATCCATGTAGGCAGACCCCTGTGCCTGCTGGAACAAAGTACCTTGCAGAAAAGTGGCTGTTTTAAAGGCTTCAGACTGTAGTGTAAGTTAGATTACCTATTCAAAACCATTGGTTATACATAATTTTTCCACACATGAAAAGGACAATTCCTGAGCTCTTTGTAGAGATATCAATTTGCTACATGCCACTATCAACAAGAATGAAATGAGTAAATCAAATTCTAGCCATTTATCAAAATACAATTTGTATAAACAGATTTTGGGCTCACTGGTTATGTGGTCTTAAAATTAAGATGTCTCAAGAAACTGAGTAAAATTTCACAAGTTAAGAACCTCTCTCAAGAGAAGAAAGTAGTGGGTTTTTTTTTTTAATGTTACAAGCAATTCCCTAAAAGAATCTTATGACTCTCCCAAAGATATTCTATGGAGGAAGAATTAGAAGCCCCCTTTTCCTTTATATTTCTTGACTGAAATTCAGTCTATTTCAGAAAATAACCGGAAAGCTGAGGTTCTAGATGTCGCCTCTTTTTACATGTGGAAATACAGAGAAATAGATGTTTTACCACTACAGCTGATAAACACAAAAGCCCAGAAAATAATTTTAACAGCTCATTAAGTGTTATGAATGTTTTATCTTTTTTTGTCAATGCTAGTATAATTGCAAGAGTCCAATGGTAGCTTTTTAAAATGGGTCATATTTTCTACTTAAGTACAGTGAGGTGACAGTAGTTAAAGTTTTCTGATGAGAAAGCACTAATGGGTTTAGACACGGATGTAACTTCTTAAGGAAGGAGGTAATGTTGTTATTCCTGAACATTAAATTACCAGAGAGCAAATAGCTGATTAATATCTTAGTCCTGATCTACATTAGGGAATTATTTTGATGCAACTCCTTATTCCAAAAAACAAGCGGAGCATCCACACTACCAAGCCTGTTATTTTGAAATAATGGGCTTGTTATTTTGAAAGAATAACTCCTGCTTGTCTGAGGAATAGTGCTATTTTGAAATTGTTATTTCGGGAGTTATTTTGAAATAATTTCCTACTGTAGACATGTACTTAGTGAGTGTAACTCCTGGTGGCCTCTTGCCTGTGTTGTACTCTTTTTTGCTTTTAACATTTTAAAAATTTCAACAATAGCATTTGGTCAAGCTTCCTGCCAGCCACAGGATTCAGGCATGCGGAACCTCCATGTCCAGGGTTCTGGTGACTGTGCAAAAGAACAGACCCAATAGTGTAGAAGAACTTACATCATCAAAAAGGTAGATTTTTTTTTTTTAACTATATTGGGTCCCACGTCATACAGAAGACTGTCCAGAGAACTGGAGTAGGGTAGAGAAAGCAGGGAAAAAAGCCAGGAAAAAAAAATACCCCTCCAACTGTAAACTTTACACAAAGACCACTGTAGAACTACATGGATTTCAATATTAATGACCATTTGAATCCTGGGTATTGTAGGCCACTGGAAAAAATGGCTAAGTAGAATTACAGTGACTCCTTCTCTAAGCAAAGGACCATTTTGTGTATTTATATAGTACCTAAAACAGTGGGGGTACCAATTCTGATTAACGCTTCTTATTGCTACTAACATACTGATCCTAATGTCAGTCGCCAATTTAAAAACTAAAGGTCAGAACCCTAATTCTGTTTGTGACAATGTTAAAATGTGCACAAAGTGTAGGAGGATAGTAACACAAGAGAAAGGCAATGCAGACATAAATCAGTTAAGATTATCAAATTACCTGAATTAATCTCAGATATACTAATCCATTTAAAACTTGCTACCCACCCTATGCTTTGTTTTTACAGTGTATCAGTCTTCAAATAATTTAATCCTGGTGCACTGGAGCCAAGTTCTAACTTCAAATACATTTAATGGGAGTTGTGCACATATTATTGAGGACACGATTTGGTCCCTAATTTTAGGTTGTGCTGGGCAATTAAAGGTAATAACTATGCCCACATCACTGGACATGATTCATCCTGTACATTGTACAGCTAGAAACCCTAAAGTCTTTGAGATTAAATAAGAGCTATGTATTATCATTAACAGAAGCTGCATATATGGAAGGCTGGCAAGATCAGGTCCAAACCGATTGTTTTTCTGCCCGCAAGCTACAGAGCATCAATCGTGCCAACAAGATGAGAGAATATTTTTGCTTTCCTATGATTTAAATTTAAATAGTTTTATTTGGAATTAATACAGCCACTCTTTAAAGTATGTATTTTTAAATTTATGAGAAATCTATATCAGCTCATAATAAGATGCTACTTAGAAATGTAATACAGAGATGCCAGGGAACACACAAGGCTAAAAGAATGTTAACTTTATTTATGAACATGTGATTTGTGTTCATACACATGCTAGTAAACAAAAAGGAAAAACTGTTTTCAAGAAATAAAAACTCATCTGGATTAGATCAAATACTGTAAATGTGGTTCACATAAATGCATTACATTAACTTCTAGGGTCACTGGGCCAGTTGAGCTAATTTGAGCTAGCATTCAGACACATGTATGTCTAAATACCAATTTGAACCAACTGCTAATAGAATTTTGGATTGCAGATTAGGTTTTTAAAGATATAAAGCCATAAGTACAAAAGACTAGGATTTCAGAATTGTGTTACATTTCACAAGAACAAGAGGCTATATTCTTCATACACCACTGACTCAAAGTTAAGCATTTAGAACAACAGAATCTAGAAATTCCTATCAAGCAATCAGATCCAATGATCCAGGGTTAGTGTAATGCCTCATACCATTCTAGATAAAAATAAAAAAAATAAAGAACATCAAGAAATAATTCTGAATACTAATTAAGACTATTTTAAATGCTTGGATTATGCACAATATTCAACCCAATCAGCAAGTCAAAGTCTACCCCATAATTGATTAAATATTTGTATAATTATAAATCTATATTTAGCAAGCTTAACAATTAACGTGTCAAACCCAAAGAAAAATGTTGCCCTTTTTCAATGGCAAAATTAGAAGTGGTGGTATACTAAAGGCAGGCTTAGTCACCGATAGCTTAAGAAACTTCCAACTCAGATGTTACCCACATCAGAAAATGTGTTGCAGATAAGAGTTAAGGAGGTCGGTAGGTGGTTTCACCTGAGCTGCACAAGGGTCTAGCAGACAAGACAACTAATTAGTTTAAATTCCTATGTCAAGTTTCTTATAATTTAGTCTGCAGACAAATGGTATCTATCACAGGAAGTGGAAGAATGAAATACAGAACTTTAGAATACCACTGTGTGTGTACCAAAAGTTATTCATATTCATGGCAACCTTTTCAAAACATTTATGTACTCAGAGATGCCCAAACAATACCCCCTTTTAATCATACAGTTTTAGGGAATGTAAGTGCTCAAATATTTAATGACAGCAAAAAACGAGCCATTGAGGCGCACAGAAATGCCCTCTCAAGAAATGGTGGGATATATTTGGTTCAGCATTTGTTTGAACCCCAAGTAAGAAACAATACCAAGTTTAACAATAATGGTTTCTCAGTGGTTTTTGACATTTTCAAAAACCATTAGGCAAAAAAAGTATTGAAAACAAAAGCTAAGTGATACAATGTGAAAATGGCAAAAATACACTCCAAACATCTTTATTGCAAGAAACAAAAAGCACACAACAACCTGTACAAACATACATATTACTAACTATAGACAGACAGATGTAGAACATGGCATCATGTTCAGTTGGGCAAACTTTGAACCTACATGATCTGAAAATGATCATACATTATCTGTACAACACAAAGTCATACAGGAAGTAGTCTAGCATATTCAATATGAAATACAATGCTTTACTCAGCACAAATACTAGTATTCACATTAAAAGTGTGCAAATGACGGCATTACTCAGTATTTTTACTATTTTGCATCAAATACATTGTATTTACAATATATACTGTGCTTTGTTGGAAGTTAAATTTTAAGTAAATGTTTAGAAAATTAATTTTCTACATTACTTGTTTATAATTAAGTGCAGTGTGTAGGAAAAAAGTGTGAGATTGTGTTTTTACATACTGCTTTTGAAGTTCCACTCACTGGTTCAGTTCGACTTCTAGAAGAAGAAATAAAAGTCATCAGAATAAGAACACTGTTCATATCCTTTATACAAACAGCGAAAACAAACTATCCCATGAGTATCAATACAATCTGTTCTGATAATTTAGTGCATATGGAAGTTTAGATGACTACAGAAACTGTTCTCTCTCAGGACTCTCAGCATTACTTTGAAGTTACAGTTTGCATTTTCAAAAAGTATTGAAAGACTTGTGTTTATGGAATACAATTTAGTTAGTAAAAATTGAATTTAAAATTCAACAAATCTGTCTTTGGAGAACTGACTTGCAACATATTAATGATCCTAAATATATGAACTGCTTCAGGCTGGGTATACAAAATTGTATCACCTATCTAGAGCAGGGGCTTACAGTTACCCAAGCAATTCTCAGATACCTAATGCCCCTAAGGATCAGCACTGAGATTCATTGGTTATATATGATCATTCTAACTTCTGGAAAAGAAAAGCGGTACTCTAGATAGCTATTGACCTAGGGGATGGGGGGGGGAGAGAGAGGAGGAGAGGAAGCAGTAGATGAGAAATTTGGATTTTAATAAGGCTTCTGACAATATCACATGACATTATCCAACAACTAGGGAAATATGCTCTAGATGAAGTTATAATGGGGTGAACAAAGGGTTTAAAAAAAAAAAAACTGTACTCAGAGTAGTTAATGGTTTACTATCAAACTTGCAGGATATACCTAGCTGGATTCTGAAAGTGTTTGTCTTGGGGCTGGTGTTTTTCAACTTTTAATGAGGAATAAGATAATGGAATGCAGAGTGTGCTTATAGAACGTGGGGATGACAACAAGCTGTTGGAAGACCGGCCTAAAACGAAAAGTGACCTTGATGAAGTATCAATCTAAAAATCAACAAGATAAAACTCAAGGAAGGAAATGAAGTGCTACTCTTAGGAAAGAAAAAATAAAGTGCATAATTACAAATTGGGAAATAACTGGCTAGGCCATAGTATTGCAGAAAGGATTAATGGATTATAGATCACAAACTGAATACGAGCCAGTAACATGATGCAGGTGCAAAAAAAAAAGACTAATATCCTCAGGTGTATACATAAGACGGGGAGATCATTGCCCTACTCTACACCGCACAGAAAAGCCTCGGGTGGAATACTATGCCCAGTTTTGGGTGCTACACTTTAAGAAAAATGTGGACAAATTAGTCCAGAGGAGAGCAACAAAAATGATAGAGAAAAGACGACAGGGGGACCCGATAACAGTCTTCAAATGTGTCAAGGAATGTTATAACTAGGACAATGATCAGCTGTTCACAATGTCCACTTTAGGTACAACAGGAAGCTTAATCTGTAGTGAAGACGATTCAGGTTAGATGCTAGGAAAAAATGTTAATTATAAGGTTAGGAAAGTACTGGAATAGATTACCACCAGAAGTTGTGGAATCCCTATCACTCAAAAGTTTTTAAGAACAGGTTAAACATACACATCTCAGAGACAGTCTAGGTGTACTGGGTCCTGCCTGTCCATGGTAGCATGGGCTAGAGTTCCTCAAGGTCTCTGCAACCCTACACTACTATTTTTTAAAATGTGTCTCAATACTGAAATTTTATTGTATTCTGCTATTCTGAAATATGCATCTTAACTGTGATGTATAGTGAATAGTGTAAATCCTCAGCAATGTGGTCCTTCATATAGGATTTCTTTGTGGAAGCCCAAACACCCAGGTGAGGGATATGCTGCTTTTAGCCCCCCCAAAAGTGCCAAGATAATAATTTTTTATATTTACACTACATTGACTAAAATAGTAGTAGAAACATCACCTGAAAGAAGTTTCTAGGATTTTGTGCGGTTTAGGAGTCCTGTGACAAAAAAAAAGTCTTAATTACCAGAATTTGCTTAAAATAAATCCTGAATATTCTACAGTATTTAGGAATGCTTTTATTACATTTGAAAATGTGTTGAGGTTCCACATAGTAATTTGCAGATGCACAACCCATTATAGAGAACTAGGCATGCAATTGTTGGTATTGTTAATAGGAGTTGTATATTTAATTAATGAAGCTGCAAAAAGTCTCCCGTGAGTTTAAGAAGCAAACCCCTCTTGGAATTTATACATGTAGGACTTGTGCTTCCAACAGACACTACTAGAAACCTGTTCCAGGCTCACAACCGGAGCGAAGTACATCCCAAAGGTGGGGATAGGTGAGGAAGTGCTTGAAGCTATGCACCATAGATTTGTTTCTCAATGTGTTTATCTTATAAAATGTTCTTCAAGGTAAACAGTAACTTTTGAAAGGCTTTGCAAACAATACTGTAGTTCTGGACCTGAAATCTCAAAGTTGCTTATTTTTAAGTTAACTGCACTCCTGAGCAGCTTAATAATTAAATTGGCACACAGTATACAACTACTCAAGAGTCACTTCTGCACTCTCCTTCTACTTGTTAGCCTAGGGCAAACAACAATTTTTGATGGAGGAGGCACCAATGTTCCCTCTATTTTTTTCCATTCATGTACAGAATAAATTGAATGTGCACCAAGATGTGTGGGTGTGCACCACCTGTAAACACACACCCTGTTAACTGTGGTTGCTCTGCTAATCAGCTGGGCAGCATTTGAATCTCTCCTGGATGGCCCGCCCAAGCGTTCAGCTTACAGGGAACACTGGAGGACAAGGGCTACACTCTTCCACGATGTTAATGGAGAAGTGCACAGTCTGAGATGGAGGTTGGGTGCAGAAGGGACCTCAAGGTAGGGTACAGGGGTGCAGGAGGGAGTGCCTAGGAGGGAATTTGGGAAAAGGAAGGGGTTGTGACCTGGGACAGGGCTTTGGAGTGCAGGAGAGGATATGGATGCAGGAGAGATTCTGACCTCAGGGAGGGGTGTAGGATGAAGTGCAGGGGGTTGGGTTGTGACCCTGGGGCAGGTGTTGGGACGTCAGGTGTAGGCTCTGGCCAGAGAGCACTTACCTTATGCAGCTCCCAAACAGCAGGACCCTCAGGCAGGCTCCCTGCCTGCTGCCTCCCCACGCCCTTCAAAGCAGCCTACTTGTGGGGGTCACATGTATCTCTGCACACTATGGACCCCTTGAGCAGGGGACTCCCACATCTCCCTGTGCTGACAGCATAGCCCAAGCAGCTCCCATTGGCTGGTTTCTGGCAGCCTAGTAACGGGCAGCCTTTGAGAGAGCAAGATGCACCATTCTTTCTGTACCGCATGCACAGTTCCATGCAGATACTTATTTGGTCCTCATCACTGTTACCAATACTTTACTTTGGAAGATTGTATCTGCTCAGCCACAAAGTAAAATGACTCATTCAAACAAAGCTAGTACAACTAATGTAGAAGGGAGATAATACAGGATGGCAGATGGGTAACAGGCCACCTGCAATCCTGACCTTTACTCATGGGGAATTTCTGACATTTTAGTTAACACTACATTTGTTACTTGACACTGGGATTAATGGGGAACAGACATTTGGAGCTCAATGGCAAACATGGTATAAAACAATTAATAAAAGAATCTTTTAATCTTGCTCACATACAAAATGGCTGACCTGATTACTGAATTCCCTCACCACTCTGAAATGATCACCTCCACTCACGACACACGTTTAGCAGCCTTGTTCTTTTTGCCTCCCTTTGAAGCAGTGATTGTCTTTTGCAATCTGGCAGGCATATCCCATAAAACCCCCTGTATTTGAAATACATGCAGAACGGTAGACCTTGGTTTCTCCAAGGTATCTTCTTTGCAACACTCCGTGATTGTTGGCAACACTAATATCTGTCATTTGTTTATAAAGTACCTGCCCTGTCATGTTTCATAATAGAAGTACACACACCTACTTACTGACAAGTAGCCACCTCTAACATGGGAGTGAGTCAGTAAATATACACAACATGCATAAGAGATGAGGGCAAGAAAAATTTTCGCCAAGGATTATAAAGTTTCTCTTATAAAAAGGTGCTATGAAATCTTTCCTGTTGATAAAGAGCAAAAGGGACCTCAGTTTAAGGTCATAATCAAAACACCAACTCACAGAGCTAACTGAACAGAACTCTATCTACTTCAGAGTTTAACTGTGGGATTTAGAATCTGGACTCCTAAGAAGCCCTGATATTCAAGCCACTCCTCTTGACAAAGATCAGAAGGTTACAGGTCTCACGTTTCAGTAGCAGCTCTTATGAAAGGAAGAAAACCTAGACTTGTTTGAATGTTTTTAGCAAACTGTGCATTATCCAACTCTAACAGCTGCAACACCTGAGAGTTTTTGATTTTATGAATACCTACATGACATATGTTTTGTTTGTAGATTTAACTCCTCCAATTGGGATTCTTCTAACAATTACAGATGAGTTCTTGGGAATCAGGGCACTATCATCCGTGTACTCTGAAAAAAGGAAAAACATGGTAAGAAACACCTATTTCCAGTCCTAAAAATTACATTTCTCTTTTTCATCTTCATTTTGTTAGGTACTTTGAAGAATTCATTTAACAGAGAAAAACCAAACCCAGAATGTTTATAATAAATATTGAAAGCTTAAAATTAATAATAGGATTTCTATTCACTGGCCACCAAACATAGAGTGCTGTTGAGGTAAACTAAATTCTACGTTGTTATAACTAGGAATATGACTAAACAGCTACTTTCTTATCCAAGAGATCCAACCCATGGCAAATTTAGGTTTTCACCGTCTCTCCTCTATTAGTCTTCAAAACCAATTAATCTTTTGGAAGAACAGATTATAGTGTATTTTACTCTGTGCATAATATTACTCAAGAAGAATTGTAACTTACATTGTTATACCCACTACCCCACCAAAGACTAGGGATGTGAAAGGTTAACCAGTAAGCATCACCCTTAATGGGTTGCAGTTAACTGGTGGGAGCTGGAGCAGCTCCCCTGTCTGTTGCAGACGGGGGCTGCTCTGGGGTCGAGAGCAGCAGAGCAGTCCCTGTATATGGCAGGCCAGGTATATCCTAAGCAGGGGCAGCTCATGGCAGGCAGGAAGGCACTCCAGCCCCCATTGGATAAAGTGAAGTTTAACTGGTTAACTAATTAAACAAGATTTTATATCCCTACTGAAGACAGTGATGTAAGTGAGGACAGCATGGTCCATAATTGAACTGGTAACAATGCAAATGCTAAAATGAATGCATAGAGTTTGAGGTAGAGTTTGCAGGAAAGGCCATTAGGAATAGCCATCTTAGTTTCCAACTTAATATGCTATGATGCATTTATTTACTGAAGTTACTAAAAACATGTTTGACTAGGAAAAAATGAATGTTTTTTTAAAAGTCAGTTTGTCACCACTGTGTTTATTTTTGGCATTTCTTCAAGACCAATAAAAATCAATACCATTAGTTTCATTTTCAGGTTCTCAGTGCTCTGATGTTTAGATTGAAGACCAAAGTAGAAAAAAGGTCTGTATTAACTGTTTAATTTGGATTTCTTTTAATTGTGGAAGTGTCTATTCTTTCTTGAAAAAACACTAAAATATAATTTTGGGAGCAAACTTAAGTTGCAAGTTTCCCTAAGCAGCTGTCATAGGAGTAACAGGAAAAACTCCACAATGCACCTTTCAGGATCATTTGGCAAAGCAAAAAGATTTTGTCTTAAAGTGGAACAAAAAGAAAAACCCTACAACAAAAATGAAGTTAAACATTTAAAATCAGTTCTACATAGTGCTGCATTTGTTTTCATTAAACTGTGCTATATTTTGATCTAACCTCAGGCTTACAAGCCAGTAAGTCTTTAAAACACGACAATGCTCAACACCAGGTTACTTTCAGGTTCAAGGTGTGAGTTTTGGCCCTAGCTCTGCCTAGCTATAGTGTAACAATGAGTAACTGAATTTCCAAGACTACTTTAGCTTGCTCAGGATGAAAGGAACATTTTTATTCTTACTTTCATAGTACTAAACACACTGTGATTTTTTTAGTTTTTGTAGAGTGTTATAACTTTTTCGCTTCCTTGTAACTTTCTGCAGTTCTCCTTTGTGTCTGAAGATTTCTATGCTAGCTTTCAGACCGCAGGTGATTTAGTAGTTTTTTTAAATGAAAAAACCATTTGGTCATTTCAATTATCAGACAAAAAGCACTCGGGGCTAGGGATGTAAGTGAGCAGTAGACTACCTGATAAGCTTAAGCTTATCAGGTAGTCGAGTAGACTACTCGCTCCCATCCCCCGTCTCTGTATCAGAGGCAGCAAGGGGGTGGGACAGGAGTCAGTGCTGGGGGGACCAGTTCTTAAAAACTGGCGGTGCCACCTGCCCTCCCTCACTCCCCCAACCCCATGCTGCTGCTCTGGCAGCAGCCCCTGTTCGCAGCAGCCCAGGCTGGCTGCGGACAGACGGCTGGATCTGGTGTGAACTGGGACTGAGCAAGTCTGGCTGCATCTGGGAGCTACTCCCATTGTGCCTCTGCAGTTTAAACTGCAAGACGTACATTTTTTTCAATTTTGGACTTCTCAAAAATGGGCAGAAGATGACTACAATGGTGACAGAAGCTTCAGGGGGTAGCCGAGTTATCTGTACAGGATAAACTTAAACAAATGGTCTGGTAGCACTTTATAGACTAACAAAACATGTAGATAGGGATGTTAGTTGCATTTCCCTTCACTGTATTTCTGGTGATCCTGCATGCCAATTCTCTATTTTTCTAATGAAGCTACTCCCAGATTACACAAGACTCCCTCTGCCTCAGCCTTGAGCCCCCTCTCACACTCCAAACTCATCCCCCAGCTCTTAACCCCTCTTCCCCGCTCGTTCACCCACACCATATGAGAATGAACTCTATTACGTGCACCAATTTGGAGGTGACATGTCGCAGGGCTCTTGCTACAGTTCAAATGCAGAGGCGCCCTTACAGATCAATCAAGTAATCAATGAAATCCCATTGACTATTCGATTAATTAATCAATCAATCTAAATGTAACATCTCTAATAATGATCACAGGAAGGGCAGCAAGGAGCCAGAGATGGGGACTGGGATTGCTATAACCCCATCGGAGCACCAGAGGGGCAGTAAGCTTCTCACCCACCTTCCAGCCAGCATAGCCCCCACCCTGGCCTGCCCTTGGCTGCCAGTTCCCTAAAGCAGCACGGCCTCCACTGACTCTTACCCCAATCCCTCATTCTCACCCTAGAGTTCACACCTCCTGTCTCAACCCAGGGAGAGTGAATAAGGCCTGGGGTCAGCCAACGATGGAGAGGAGGGGAATGGAGAAGGCGGGGCCTCAAGGAAGTGGGGGGGGGGGAAGAGTCTTGGGGAAGGGATGGGGTAGATCTTGGCTGTAAAAAGGTTGGAGACCACTGATCTAGATGGCCCTCCTGCCTTGAGTGCCAGGGACTGGACTTGATGCCTCGAGGTCCCCTCCAGTTCCAGTATTCTATGATTTTAGAGCCAATTTGAAGACTAGCTTAAAAAAAAACAAAAAAAAAACCTAACTAATCCTTTCATTTCCATTCCACATTCTACCAGTTGCCTTTTCAAGTGCATTACACACAGTGCATATATAAGTTTGCTACCAAGAAAGTGTTAACAGTACTCAACTTCTGTGCATATGAACTTGTAAACTCCATATTTATTATTTGTTAACCAGACAGTTTAACAAATTCATCGCATGTCTACATAGAATTAATCTGCTGAATATGACAGCTAGTGCCAAAGTTGCAACTGAATGTTTTTTGACAACTTGTGAAATAAGGAGAGAACATCCTCCACAACTAACACACATCACTGAAGTGTGACTAAATACTAGCTCTTAGGATTCACTCAAATATGAGGTCAGACACCACAGTGCAAGACAGGTGGGCAAGATACGGCTGGTGAGCCAACATCCAGCCAATGAGAGCTAAGAGACTGTGGTGGGGGCTAGGGTTGTTAAGAAGCGGTTAATTTGCTAATTGTGTAATCTATAGATTTTGTATCAACTAAACGATTAGTCAATAAGGGAAGGCAGGGAAAGAACTCTAATCCCAGTTTACAGTGGATTCAGGAGCTATCCCCGCTGTGGCTCTGCTTTGGAACTGTATTAGAAGCCAGGCAGTCCGGCTCAGTCTTGGCTTGCGCCAGGTCCTACCCCCACGCCAGGTAGGTCCCAGACCCAGCAAAAGCCAGGACTGAGCCAGTGTGCCTGCCTGTTGGCTGTCAAGCTCCTCACTGGGTGCAAATATGACAGTAACTTAAGATACTTTCATCCCTTTGACATCAATGACATCAGCTGAAGATTTGGCTACTGAATGTACATTTTGGAGAAAATGTCTTCTCTTTGCTTTACTTTATTATTGAATGACAACTAAGCTATGTTTAGACTACACTGATCTATCAGGGGGTAGGGGCCTCTCTCCTTCCCCACAGTGTAGACGAACTCAGCCAGCCACTTTGAACGGCCTGGGGCTGTTGGCAATAGGGAAGCCTGGGTCTTGCTGGGCTACTGGCCTGGAGCTGCGTAGGTAAGCGCCTCCTGGCCAGAGTCTGTCTCTCACACCCCATTTCCACCCACACCCCAACTCCCTCCCAGATCCTGCACCCCCTCTTAGACCCTCCCTCATGCCACAATCTTCTCCTGAACCCACACCCCCTCCAGGACTCTACAGCCCAATCCCCTGCCCGAGGTCACACACCCCTAACTTCACCCAAACTGATACAGTGGCAGCAAGGTGGGGATGCATGCAGTGATTAGGATTAACAGATAAAACCAGACTTATCAGCTGATCATGTAAACAACTACACACTAACTCCCTAGCTGACATCAAACACTAGGTTATGATATCACTGAATGCATCTGGCAAGATACATAAATTGAGTTAGATTCTGTTTATACACACACAGTGGTAAAGTTACAGGAAAACTTCTTGTTTGCTGTTGCTAAAACATCTCTCTTCACTGCAACTATGCAGTTGAGCAATTGTTCCCCCCCCCCCCCCCAGCTAAAATTTCCAGCTTACACATTTATACAAATAAACTATAGTTAATATCGCCAGACAAAGACGAACAGACTGGTGTTAGTCCATGAATGAAACTGGAGTTATTGTTTCTTCCATTTCAATTAACCCTTCCTTTTAGGAAGGCAAACACTTACTTAATCTGGTGAAACATTATAGAACTCTGTTTTTATTCTCTCAAGAAAACATCAACCTTTTACAGAGAACTCATCACATCAATATAAATTCAAATTCAATAAGCCATGAACTCTAACCTTGAAGTTGTCAGAGTCTCTTTAAAGCCACACTTTTCCCTGAAGATTGTTTATCTGTCTCTACTGCAACCACCACCATAAGGCCCAATTTTATAAAGATCAGGACCTAATATTTAATTTTTAGTTAAATTATTGGCAGTTTCCTGTGCATTTGACAGCCCTTTGTTTCACTTGCATATTCTGTCTCAGA